GATATGAGGGACAAGAGCACAGGAAGTATATAGCTCTAGAGAGAAAGAAACAAAAGTCTAGACCACCGAAATGATTATGATAATGACAGTACACTGGATATCTGCAGCAGTTTAACTAGGGGTGTGTTTAGTTCATGTTAAAATTAAAAGTTTGGTTGAAATTGGAACGATGTGACGAAAAAGTTGAAAATTTATATGCGTAGAAAAGTTTTGATGTGATGGAAAAGTTAGAAGTTTAAAGAAAAAGTTTGAAACTAAACAAGGCTTAGAGCCAGTTTAGAACCATTTCTGATCAACGACTGATGAATAATGTACGTACATACGTCGCAGTTTAATTGACCAGCTGGCCATTTTTACTACGTACACAGACTATAAGCGCGCGCACGGAGGCCTGACACGGTACGTCAGGCGCCTGGCGGCACAGAAGGTTCGCTTAGTACTTGCGTTATATTTCTCCAGGCAAACTGGTACCGTGGACCGGCCGCGTGGTACACATACTCCTACGCGCGCACCCCTGTTGCCCGAATCGTAAACGAGGCGCGCAACGCAAGGAAGGCCAGCGTGCACGCATGCGACGCGCGCGCTGCCGACCCGGCGACGTGCCCCCGCGCACATTTACTAGCGGCAGCCCGGCACCCGTACCACGGGCACGGCGCGGCCGGCGCAATGACGCTCGCCACCAACCCGGGCCGCCGGGGCGCGCGCGCGATCCCATCTGCCGCACCCGGCCGCCCGCCCCCCGCGCGCGCGTACGGCGTACATACATACGTGTGATCCCATCTGCCGGTCTGCCCGCCGTGGACCGAGGGTGTCGCGGTCACCCGCCGTGCGCCCCCCGCGCGTGCCCGCAGGCAACGTGGTCGCGCGGGCACGTGGTAATATAGTATACACAAGTCTCTGGTGGTAAACGGCATCCACCTCCTCTTTCCCTCTCCGGCAGCACAGGCTGTAAAGACGAGGACCTCACGCGAGCGAGCGAGAGCGCGCGGCCGCGGCCGCGGCGTGATATGATCCTCCTCCTGGTCGTCGTGGTCGATGCATCGGTAGTCCATCGACCGATCGACCTGCTGCCCCCCACTTCGGCCCACTAACCGAACGCCGGATTTTAATATACCAACCCACAACCCAACCACTACGCCAGCGCTGCTTCGCTACGCCTGCTGGACACAAACTGACAGCGGATCGGATATGGGGGGGGGGGGGGGGGGGGGGGCATCGTCCGGGTAATAATCCAATATCCAAGCCCCTCCACTCCACTCGCAATGTAATGTTTTAAGACCTGTTTCTTTCGGCTTGGAATTATTATAATCTAGATTATTGAGTCAGATTACTGTAATAGAATAAGCGGTTAGTTGTTTCTTTACTAAATTATTAGGTTTTTAAGTCTAAAGAGGGAGTAGGGTGGCATGGTGGATAATTTTTCACCCAATAATCTAGAAAAAGCTCATCTAATGAGCTTATCAAATTATAATAAGTTGGGCTCCAGATTATAATAAGCGAAACATGGCCTAAAGTTAATTGTTTTGAGACCACTTTTCTTTTTGAAATCTGAAATTAAATATTGTCCTGATAGGCTGATACCCTACATGTCAGACAGCAACAAAGGCAGCTCCCAGTCAGGTTTGGGCGATTGCTCGAGCTCCGCCGCTAGCTGCCACCTTCACTACAAATTACCAATTTGCCATCGATGTATAAAAAATAGTAAATCACCGAGAAACACAATTAACCGTTTAAACTTGACGATGTTGTTTGCTCCGTCACTAATATTCAGTGGCACAATGGGTGGCATATTTCAATCGTATACGAGAGAATTTCACTCACTCTTCCCATTATCGAAAAGTAGTTGCAAGTATTACTCGTATGATCGTATCTCACTGCAAGTTAACTAGGTACGAAATAATGATTGATGGTAAGATGCAAATTGAGCTATGTTGGTTGCATATATATATTTTGAGCATACACATGTGCAACAGGACGGATGGGCCTCCCAGACACAAAATTGTGCAATTCCACAAGCTTAGGTGGTAGTATTTAAGGGTGTTTTATTGGTTAAGATCATTGAAACAATATTTAATGCTGTCTTCCTCTAGTTTTGATATGCAAGCTTCACTTTCCATGTTCATCGCACACGCCATTAGACCCATATATTTACATCTCTTTGTGAGATTCACAAGTCATGATTGGGGATTTACATGAAGCAGGAATTTCTAATGTAACTGAAAGAAAAGGAATGACTGAAATAGAAGTTGTCAAAGTCAAAAAGATAAAACCTCAAAGGCTATTCACGTTTTTCCTTCTCATACCTCTCCACCATCTACAGGAGTCATCTCTTCTTTCTTTCTCCTCTAGTCCTTCCATAGTGCGTCATCCATACTCCTATAGAAACCTTGTGATCAACTAACTATTCATGTACCAGTCAGTAGAACCAACCAATGACTATAAACGTAATTACTAATTATAGGAAGCTCGAGAGTATAGAAAACAAATAAATTAATAAACTTTCAGATTTTTCACCTTATTTAGTTGTTAGTTGAAAAAAACACACGTTAGCAATATCAAGTATTTTGTTATATGTTTGATGTGGTTGTAGGCTTGACACACCATAGTTAAAATCATAGATTTGGAATCAATGTATTTTAATTTTAGAAGTACGGTGAATATATACACACACTTACTTATGGTTTGGGAGATATTTGATACATATGGGAATATTTTAAGCCTACGTGAGATTCATATACATGCAAATATAGTGATTCGATACAAAGGAGCGAAATTTTAGGATTTTTGATTCCTCTCTCTCGCTGGTTTTGATGGTTTTGGAGTCCATCTTTCACAAAGGCCAACTCTATCATTGGCTGGCGCCGCTTCGTTTGGGGACCTGTTAGGATTATAGTAGGGTTTCCTCCGCTCCAAATCTCCCTCTTGTAGGAGCAACAGGTACAACTTTCCTTTTTCATAGTTTTTTCCCTTCACAGTTCCTTTGCCTGTCCCCGGTAATGGTCTTTTCGTCCGTTGTGTTGTGTAATATATTAACATATAATTTTTTTACGCTTTTGCGTTTTTTTAGTGATGTGACGATGATGTATATGGACCGTGTGTTCTCAATTGTATACTTTCAAAGGAACTAGTACCATTCGTATTGTTGAGAGGATAAACACACAAGCGTTTAAAGTTTTTAACATTGATGAAGGGGTAGTAAACACGCGCTGCAAAAAGGTGAGACAAGGTAAAGCCGAGAGACGAGTGGTATTAAGTTCGCTCAAAAATAAAGTTATAAAACCAGGGAAGCAAAGGCGGCCCGGGAAAAAAAAGAACCCATCGCGGCCACCCGCCTCGTTCGCTTCCATCCTCTCCGCAGTCCGCACCCGCGCGCGCGCGCTCGACTCCCGCACCAGCCGCGTCATGGCGCCATTCCAGCTGCGCTTCGGCCTCCGGATGTCCCCCTCGCGCTCCTCCGACGAGGAGGAGGAAGACGACGAGGACGAGGAAGGGTTCGAGTACGAGGAGATACTGAGCGACGACGGGACGGACTCGCCGCCGCCGCTGATGATGCAGGCGGAGAAGGGAGGGGGAGGGCTGGTCGGGGCGGTGGTGGGGGCGCTGCGGAGGTCGCTGGTGATGTGCAGCGCCGGGAAGGTCGGGGAGGAGGAGGACAGCGAGGACGAGGAAGAGGAGGGGATGGAGATCGGGCGGCCCACGGACGTGCGGCACGTCTCCCACGTCACCTTCGACCGCTTCGGCGGCTTCCTCGGCCTCCCCGCCGACCTCGAGCCCGAAGTTCCCAGCCCCACGCCCAGCGCCAGGTGAGCTCGCCGGCGCTAACTCTCTGCAATTCCTCTGTTTCTTCTACTCTTCGGTCTCTCTCTTTCAGTTTTCTGAGGATTTTACCTGAAAGAAGCTAGTAGCTACGTACTCTACATACCCAAATATTCTTTGGTACTTGTATTTTTCAATTTCACGCAGTGTATTTTTCAATTTCACGCAGAAATATGTGTTAGTAAATTTGTTGTTTTATCCTTCTCTGTTCTGTGTTCTCCAATGCAATTAGCGTATAACCTCTTTACAAAATATATTGTGTTCATAGAAAGGCTCCCAAGAAAGTTGATAGTACTAATATGATGTTTCAGAACGATGATAGTGAGCTTTGGTTTCTTTTCTAGTATGTTTAGTTGATCGCTCAGATGATACAGGGTAGAAAGAGGGCGATTTGTTTAAGGATGTAAGATTAATTTATTCCACAAGTGGATCTAGTAATTAAAAAAGGACAAGTAGTACCTTTTTAATAAAAAGTTCAGTTCTTAATTCTAGTATGCGGTTATATAGTTAGATTGCTGAGTCAAGAAGTACATGCCATCAAACAAGGAATGGAAGTATGGAACACTATGAAGGTATGTGAAGGTATACGATTCTGAAGATATATGAGGGCATAAGAGAAGAATAACTCATATGTAGGATTTGGTACAATACTACCATATGACGGCCATGGGTTGAACTTTCAACGGATCAGACTTGAGTTACTTCGTTCTGTGCTTGAGCTTTAAGCAACGGGGCTGTTTGAGGTGGTTGGCCAGCATGAGCAACAAATGGGAATCTTCAAACCTATCTTTTTTATTTTGGATTAGTTCTCCTGTACTTTGCATCATCATATATAGTAATGTTCTGTGAAGTTTGTCCTTTTGCATTTACAAATATCATTTACACCATCTTTTTAAGGTTGTTAACGTCAAATCAGTATTTGATGTACAACCTAGTTAAATGAGCTAGGAATATAAGACATTGTCCTGTTGCTACTGCTGTTATGTCATAATCTCTTTTTTACCCCTTTAACTTGTAGTGGTTACAGAAGTGAAGATTCAAAGTTTATTCACCTTAACTACGATCCTTCCCTCCTTTTTCTTTTTCTTTTTTACCGTGAAACAGTAGGGGAGGCCTCTACCGTATATTAATTTTCGAAAAGTTTATGTACATGATACTTAACAATTTCCATGTCTAATTTTCCATGCAGTGTAAATGTATTTGGTGTTTCACCAACCTCTTTGCAATGTTCATTTGATCACAAAGGAAATAGCGTGCCCACAATACTGTTGATGATGCAGAGGAAGTTGTATGAACGAGAGGGACTTAAGGTATGGCCACCGCAACCTAACGATTAGCATTAGAAAAGTCAGTATTCAAGCCTTCGGAATACTTATCCATTGTGTTCTTACTTCTTAGATCGAAGGGATCTTCAGAATTAACGCAGAGAATAGCCAGGAAATCTGTGTCAGGAAACAACTAAACAGTGGTGTGGTTCCAGATGAGGTTGACTTACACTGCCTTGCAGGGTTGATAAAGGTAGCATGAACTTCCTCATCTCTCCTTAATTTTTCCGGTCCACGGCCTGAGCTGTATGAGGCAAAAAAGATCGTTATTATTTATCGGCAATTTGCTCTTGTTTGTTTAGTTTTTCAGTACTGAGCATTACCTCAGATTGACAGACGACTAGGCAGTTGCATCTATGTATGTGCATCCCCTTTTTATGCAATCTGAACATTTCAGAACCTGAAATGTTTGCAGACATGAAGGAATACAGAATAATTGGTGCAAGGAACAGTACTTTTTAAGTAAAAAGTCGAATAAGTATTTGCAGGCAACTGACTATTAGATGTGCATGCTATTAGTCATATTTCTTGTACATGGGTTATTGGCTTACTGGAGGATCTATTCCATGATCACTATATTCCCTTTTTATAGGCATGGTTTCGGGAACTCCCAACCGGTGTATTGGACTCACTGACACCGGAACAAGTAATGCATTGCAACACAGAAGAGGACTGTGCTCTCCTTGCTTCAATGCTACCACCAGTGGAAGCCGCATTACTCGATTGGGCTATCAATCTGATGGCTGATGTTGTGGAGCATGAAAACTACAACAAGATGAATGCTAGAAACATCGCTATGGTCTTTGCGCCAAACATGACTCAGGTATTAGAAACAACTCTGGATTCTTTCGTTAGAAAAGCATACACATACACTAACCTGCAATGTTTGTTTTCCAGATGGCCGATCCATTGACTGCCCTGATACATGCAGTTCAGGTCATGAATTTCCTCAAGACATTGATCTTGAAGACTTTAAAGGAAAGAGAGGCAGCCGGAACACCTAAGACAACGGAACCATGCTCCGGTTCTCCAAACGGACAAGATAAACCTCCGACGCCAGAGAATTTGGAGAGACCCATCATTTGTTCAGATCAGAAAGGCATAGATAAACCTATGTTTGATATGGCTACTTGTGATCAGCTGCTGTTTGGACCTAAACAATTCCTTGATCATCGTGAGAACAACAAATTTGAAGGACCGGAGAAGCATGACATAGGCCAACCGAAGCGCCATAGCGAAGCTTCTCCTCTTGGTAATGATTCGAATAACCAAGTCAGCAGCCCTGGAAAAGAATTTGGCAACAGAAATGTGGAAGGCCTGTTCGACAAATTTAGTTTTAGGAAAGGTGTCGAGAGGCTTTGCAGGCACCCTGTGTTCCAGTTGAGTAGGTCCATGAAGAAGTCTGCAGACGTTGTGGTCTTTGATGCTCCTGGAGAAGCAAGACAAGCTTGGGGTTTGATATGATAATGGTTGTATATGTAGTTGGTGTGGATGTAATGCTATCTTTTCTCTGTCTTGTTTGTGTGAGCAGAAGCGATTAGCATGTTAGATTTATAGGTGCTGCAGGTTGTTGTGTGCATTATAACCATTTACTTCTGACGAAAGCGTCTGCCTGTGGCTGCTACAAGTAAACGAAAGCCAGCTGAATTCTGGCTCAGTACTGTATACCTCAATAGCTGCTGACCTATTTATTCTTCTTATAACCGTCCAAATTAATCTACCCCCACAAATATCCCTTCCCAATCCTAACATGCATCCAAACGCCACAGTAATGCAACCACTGTCAGTGAACAGCAGTATAAGAGCATCCCCATAGCTTATCCATATTTGATCCTCCAAATACCTATATAGATGATTATCCAAAAAAAGATTCATCATTCATATTCCTTCCAACTCCAACAAATAATCTATATTACATCATGCATATCGCACCATCCTGTATTTTAATAATATCTTCCAACTAACTTTATATTTGTATTTTTAAGGGATATATTTTGAACTACTAAATTTTAACTGCGTTATTTATCGCAATAATATTTTAAAATGAGTAAATTTTAACCGATATATTTTTAATAAATAATTTTTTAATTGATGATGTATTTACATGAATGGACTTCTAATCCACATTAGCTAGCTAGCGACTGACCTTATCCTCTCGCTTAAAAAAAAAGAAAAACAGAAAAGAACGGACCTTCTCTCGCTAAAAAAAAAAAAGACCCTACCTTATCCTCTCACGGGTGCGTGCGTGCGGCAGACGGAGGGGCGATGCGGGACGGCGCGGGCGGCGCTGCAGGGCGGCGCGGGCGGTGGGGCAGGGTGGTGCCGAGCTGAGCAACGGCGCGGGCTACTGGGCGACGGCGGAAGGTGGCGTCCGCGCGCATGGTGACGGCGGCGGCGGCGGAGGATGCAAGCGGCGGCCGCGAGCATGGCGACGGCGGCGGCGGAGGAGGCAAGCAGCGGCCGCGCGCATCGCGACGGCGCCAGCGGTCAGCCGCGGGCAGGGCGACGGCTACAGACGGCGGTGGCGCGGCTCCAGATCTGGTACGCCTCTCGATCTCCACTCTCACTCCACCCTCCCTCTCCACCGTCCGCTGACTCACCTTCGCCGGCCGGCGACGACGGCGATGGAGGGGAGGTCGCGCTGGAGGTGAGGTCGCGTCGCGGAAGTCCGGATGGGGGCGGGAGAGGCGGCTGTTGCAAAATGGCGTGAGGAGAGAGACACTCCATTTTTGCCTCTTCTCTCTCCTAATTTGGCGCATCCGCCACTTTTGGAGGGCCTGTTAGCGTATCTGCTGGAGCTGATTTTTCCCCTTTTATACGGCAAATGAAGGATGGATGACCGGTTAGAGGAACTGCTGGGGATGCTCTAAGTGCATTTTCTTTCTTTCTTGAGGAGGATGCATTCAATATCACCCAAAAATTTATAAGAACTTGTCAGTGAATTGCTGAACAAATGCATAGATGCATTCTCTTTCTCTATTAACTAAAACATGGTAACAGAAGCATATAAGAACAACTGTCCGACTGCATACGGGGACTACTACTAATCTACTATTGCAGTACGGCTAACCGAAAATCTTCTGGTTCAGATCCTAATGTGTCACCCCAATTGGTACTGCTGACACCATGCATGTTAGTCCTTTTCTATCTCTTCCTGAAGACCTTGTCAAATAGTACAATACAAAGCAGACGCAGAAAGCATGCATGCTGCATGCCAAATTGCCAATGCCTTGTGTATGGGAATATATGCAGTTGTAGAGACGTTTCAGTGTTGCATCATACAAAAGATGGCTGTGCTTCATCCGCCCTGCCGCTCTTCCCTCTTCTTAGTAGTGACGCTGCTAGTTTTTCGTTCATCTCCAGCATTGCCTCATACTTTCTTTATCTTCGGAGACTCCCTTGTTGATGTAGGCAACAATGACTATCTTGTGACCCTCTCCAAGGCCAATGCTCCACCATATGGTGTTGATTTTGCGTTTTCTGGTGGCAAGCCAACTGGAAGGTTCACAAATGGGAGGACCATTGCCGATGTCATTGGTAATGTCAAGTATGAATCTCACGAAGAAACTCTGATTTTCCTGTCTCGATCTCACATTTCTTGGCACTGAACTCTCAGGTGAAGCCTTGGGGCAGAAATCTTTTGCTCCACCCTACTTAGCTGCAAATTCAAGTGCTGAAATGATGAACAGTGGTGTTAATTATGCCTCTGGTTCTTCTGGCATATTTGATGAGACCGGCTCTTTTTATGTATGTGAACACTCAATTGTTGTGCTTCCTCATGCTTGCTTTGTTTCTGAAATATAGTTGTATGAAAACATACTTGATCTGTGCTGTAGATTGGAAGAGTGCCACTAGGGCAGCAAATCAGCTACTTCGAGAAAACCAGAGCTCGAATACTGGAGATCATGGGGGAGAAGGCTGCTACTGGGTTCTTGAAGAAGGCGCTGTTCACGGTTGCTGCAGGATCCAATGACATCTTGGAGTACCTTTCACCTTCCATGCCATTCTTTGGACGAGAAAAGTATGATCCTTCAGTTTTTCAGGATTCCTTGGCTTCCAACCTGACATTTTATCTGAAGGTGCTACAACTTCTAACTCGCGATTACTGAATTTTTCTTTCTTCTAATGTTATTTCAAGATGATATGATACTTTTTGTTCCTCAATGAAGCGGTTAAATCAACTTGGAGCAAGAAAAATTGTTGTTGCTGACGTTGGGCCACTGGGATGCATACCGTATGTTCGTGCTTTAGAGTTCATTCCTGCAGGGGAGTGTTCAGCATTTGCTAACCAACTCACTCAAGGTTACAACAAGAAACTGAAGAGGATGATCTACAAGCTGAACCAGGAGATGGGGCCTGAGAGTAGATTTGTTTACGCAAACACGTACGAGATCGTGATGGAAATCATTCAGCAGTACCGTCAATACGGTGAGCTTTCTTCCTTGCTGCAGCTACCTCTTGCGAAAACCACCTGCGAATGCTGTGCTGCAGTCTGCAGAGCATTAGAAAATGCAGAATATTTCAGTCTTGCATTTGTCTTCAGGTTTTGAGAATGCGCTGGACCCATGCTGCGGAGGCAGCTTCCCTCCATTTCTCTGCATCAGCATCGCTAACTCAACCTCCACCTTATGCAATGACCGGTCCAAGTACGTCTTCTGGGACGCGTTCCACCCGACCGAAGCCGTCAACTTCATCGTCGCCGGCAAGCTTCTCGACGGCAACTCCGCCGTTGCTTCTCCCATCAACGTCCGAGAGCTGTTCCAATACCAATACAAATGAGAGATGTGCTTTTGCCCAGTTGCTATGGCATTCATTCCTGTTTGGCTGTATCAATTCCCATCCTCTTTCAGTCTTTTCCTCTGCAATCTTCTCGGGCATAATTGGACTGGACAGCACGCCTTTAACGAGTAGAATGTGACTGAAAGTGCGCTTTACGACACCAGTTTATCTTGCTTTTTTGCACTTTTCTGAAGGCCCGAGAGAAGATTCAACCGTCAGCCAATGAAAAAGAGACACGTACACGCTCTCCGGCTAGTCGCTGTCAGTGAACAAGAACTTGCCGGTGCAGTGCAAACTTGACCAACGAGCGATGCAACAGAAGCTGGCGCACTACGTGCAAAGAAACTGACGAACAATTGGGCAAAGTAGCGCCCATCTTATCACAGAGTAAATAACCTATCTATGTCACTATGTGTGCACGGTAGCCGCCGGTCAGCCGGTGCAACTCACAGTGGCGATATGCCTATATATTTTACGTGCACGAGAAAGTTGGGCTCGGGTGCCCCGGCACTGCCAGGTACGGCCACCTCCGGCTGATCGATCGATCGATCCATGGAGCCTGCCGCCGCGGCGGCGGGGCCTGGGAAGGCCGGTCACCACAACGCCGACGCTTTCCACGCGGTGGCGGCGGGCGGCGTAGCTCCGCCCGCGGAGACGACGCGGTGGTCGTCCCTGGCAGCCACGGCCGCGAGCCTCGTGGCGGTCGGCCTCGGCGGTGCCGCGCTGCTGGTGTGGTGGGCGCTCGCGTTCCACCCGGCGAACGCGCGCCTCTGGATGGTGCCCGCGGGGCTCGTCCTCCTCGGCACGCCCATCCTCGCGTGGCTCTCCCTCTGCCTGTCCGCCGGCCCGTGCGCCGCCGTCCGCGACGCGCCGGTGCGCGTGTAGGAGCTCCTCGCAAGAGTCTCGCGCATTTTTGCTGCTTCCAGCTGGTCCATTTTGGGATCAGATGTACATACATGTTCATTGTTCACTACTAGCTAGTCGTACTATGCTTCTTTCTTTGATTTCTTGCTGATTCATTTCGGGATCAGATGCAGATACACATACATGTTCACTACTGTACTTCTTTGATTTCTTTGTGAATTCAGCTGGGAGTTGCAGCGTGTTGCTGCTAGAGGGAGAGGGACATGTAGCATTGATATGGACATATGGTATATATGATCTGGTGTACACAGTTGCTTTCCAAGATTACTTCCCCGTGTGTGTGATCTGGTGAGTGCGAACTTTCGATCGGTTTCTGCGTTCACGCGGCCTGGAAAGTCTAAAGTTGGAGTGTGCCGGATCGTAATCCATTGGTCGGCGTCTCGTCGAGAAATGGACGCGCAATACAAGCGCATGGGCCCTCGAATTTGAGATATTTCTTACCGGAGGATAGGTATGTGTGGTTAATGGTTTCCCCTCGTGGATTGCTTTAGTGTTAGATTGGTGATGGATTAGATATGTGATTAATGGTAGTGGATTAACATAGGAAATGGAGTTCAACGGAAGGCTGTACTGAAATGCTTTAGTATTAGATAGGTGATGGATTAGATGTGTGATTGATGGTAGTGGATTAACATAGGACATGAAGTTTAATGGAAGGCTGTACCTGCAATGCTTTAGGACTAGATATGTGATTGATGGTAGTGGATTAACATAGGACATGCTTTAGGACCATGTTGGAGAACGTCGCCGGCGGCCGCGGCTTCCGTCGTCCACGCCCCACGTCGGAGGTCGTCGCCGGCGGCCTCGTCCTTCGCTGCCACGCCCCACGTCGGAGCTTGTTGCTGGCAGTCGCGTCCTCCGCCGCCACGCCCCACGCCGGGCTCGTCGCCGGTGGCCACATCCTCCACTGTCCACGCTCCGCACCATGCCGGATCTCGTCACTGGAGGCTGCGTCCTCCGCCATCCGCAGCCATGCCACGCCAGGAACTCGTCACTGGCAACCGCGTCCTCCACCATCCACACCCCATGCCGCGCCGGAGCTTGTGCAGCAATACGCATGCTTTGACAGAGATGTGGTAGAATGGATAAGGTAGAAGGAGATAGAATCGGTGGATTGGTTGGTTGCTGCCCTATCCCATTTATCACGGTTGGGACGGGATCCCGTCAGGTAGCATTTCTGTAAATTTTTATATACTTTTTGATACTGGTACTTCATGATTAGTGCTAGGATGCTATATTCCTCAATACATCTAAAGGACCATAAAATCATCTATTATGGGTCTTTTTGCAAGAAAATTGTAATGGAAATGTTTTTTTTATCGGTTCATGTATTATAATAGATACTGATGTTTAAAGTTCCCAAAGTTGACCAGATAAGATACTATACTATTATCTTTATATTTATTTGTGAACAGAGTACATAACACGGAATTGTCGGTGATAAGAGGTGCCATTGTGCATCCACAGATCCACTTGTAAGCGCAGAGGATTAAGGGGGGAAAGGACAAAACTAAAAACTAGTTGGAACATGACGAGATACAGAGATAGAGATGCTCCAGTCCAACATCCTTATTGATATGCTACAATGTGAATATGGATTTTCCTGATAAGCAATTGCTACGTACTAACAATTGCCCAATCATTGAAGTCCAGAAACACAGCACCATACGGATGGGCAATATTCTGTTGCCATCTCCTCTGTTTTGCCATTAACTGACCCACCCTTATTAACGCATTCATCAGTTCCGTAACAGGCTTCTTGTTGGGTCGCGAACTGCTCCTTTCAGAAGTTGCCGTCACAACCAGCATTTTGCGTCATGTTTTCAGTTTATTAGTGCCCAATCAAAATACGCAAATTGCTAATAAGCCCCCACTATTTTTGGTGTAAACCACTGCAACTATCCCCCACTACTTAAGGTATAAAACACTAAGACTATCTGTTTCCATTTTTTGCCATAGAAAATGGTAGCCCCAGTAGAGGACAGGACCATTGGTTGGTTGCCAGTCGTGGTGCATTTAATAGTTATTTAGATACCTTGCTGACCTGCTGTTCTCCTCTCAAGAAATGTAAAATCACACTTAGACAACATTGCCAAGATAGTGCCTCCTTAACGAAATAACCACTTTCTTTTATGTTGCAATTACTAATATACTACCGCCTTCCCCAAATGTTTAATGTTGGTTAGTTCAATTTTGAGCTAACCAACGTCAAACAAAAAAAAAAGGAGGGAGTACAATATAACGGGTAGTGTTCAGAGGCAGAATGCACGCACCAGGGTTCATAATTTCAGAGGAACAACATGGTTCAAATTGGATGCCCACCCAATCACACAGCTTCCACTTCATTGTGAACTTTGGATCCATGATAAGAGAACAGCTTGGTCGCATTCTTGTATGTCACTTCAGCAAGTTCTATTTCTGATATTTCAAGCAGTGAGGCGACATACTTCATAACCTGAGACAAAGAACCACAGTTTATTAAGCTTTTGTCAGTCCATGATTTACTCTGCTGTATGTATAAGAATGTTAACTCAAGAGGACCTTTTCGGACAGATGGAACATGCAAGGAGTGGTGAGCTGGCAGTGGACCAATATAAGTGGCTTAAAACAAAACAGCAGCAGTACAGTAATATGCAACTGTGTTTTTCAGATACTAGCATCCAAAACAGATTGCACGGAGGAATTGTGAAGTGTGAACAGTGTACAGTGTTGTTGAAATTGTTCGCAAGCATAGAAAACATTGTATGAGTTGATGGTATGATAAACCTCTTTAGTCCTGTGGAGGACTTATAAAGCATAGCAGCCAAGACAAAAAAAGATAAAACAGTGGAGCTATCAAGGAACTTATGTAAAAGAAGTGGTCCAGCAGAAAGGCTTGTAATAACTACCATGAAGATTCTTTAACGAAAAAAAGTCAGCAAAGGGCACCCTAGCAAAAATCTTACAATGTGGATATTAGATGGATGGTTCAAAGACTCATTTGAAGTGGTAGATGCCCGTGAATTAGAATCTTTTTTACTTTCTCCATTATCTGCACTTGAGCTATCCACAGGTACTGCTAATAGAGAAATATCATCCAATTTCGGTAATGCATCCGGTGCGTCGGTCTCTAGCAGAATTCTGTCTAAGGGCATCTAAAATAAGTACAAATGTAGACAATTAGTAAATCCCTCTGAGATGGCATCTAAAAGTACAGAATAAAATTACTTACTGATTTTAGCATTTTCTTTGCCTTCGTGGATTTCATGCCTGTAAGGAAGCCGGACAACGAAAAGTAACAGCCTAAAATTTCAAGGCTGGACACCATTTCTGCAGATCCTAGATACGAATGCAGCAACACACCAGCTGGGAAAGGTCCAGTTCTCCTGCAAGCAACAAAAATGTAGGAATCAATACTTATTGGAGAAAAACAATCAGAAGTTACATGCTATTTGTGCTAGCAGTTAGGTAATCTGGACCGTATACTTCAGATTGGCATTTGTTGTCTAAGACAGGCAGGATTCTCAAGGTTTTGGTTATCTAGTCAATAAATGTATCCGAACTATGTTAGGAACTGGTGGATACCATACTATAAATAATCTACTAAGAATTTCAACTTAAACATACTTTGAGAACAAATCTCCATGTCTTACTTTAGTATCTCCAGAAGATCACCAAAGGCGCGCACACAATGAACAGAAACAGGCTTGTTCAACTCCTTAGCAAGTTCAAGTTGCTGCTGGAAAACTTCAACCTGCAGTGATATTTTTTAGCTTCTGATAGTCTTATTGGTGGCATAAAGCTTGCTCATGATGCAAAAGGACTTGAGGCATAGGTTATATGGCCTAGTGATTTACACATGTTGGAACATTTGGAAGGAGCAGAGTAGGTGAGCTTTTCAAGATCAGTGTCTTCAGCCACAACAAATCATTTACAAGATCGAAGAGGATATTGAGCAACAGGAGAGAGATTTTCTAGCTTAGCTTGCATGAGTTTTATCGCTTTTGTGTTACTCCCTTCTTCCTTGCTCCTTTTAAACTTCTATCCTCCTTTAATGTAATAGGCAAAGCTCTTGGCCTTTCTTTTAAGAAAAAAATAGTCTTATGGGCATAAATGGGCGCCCAACTAAAACAGGGGCATTAATAGATAAAATCGTTATATCCATCAGATAACTGAATGTCTTGATAGATCATATAAAACAAGAAGTGAAGAAGGAAAAATGCTAATTACAAACCTGTTCTCCAAAGTCAATGGTTTTTCCATGTGAACCTTTGTCCAGACCAATCTGCATTACAGTAACATAGGCCGTGTTTAGTTCCATTTCATTTTTTTTGAAGTATACGGGCACACATTTGAAGTATTAAACGTAGACTAATAACAAAACAAATTACAGATTCCGCCTGTAAACTGCGAGACGAATCTATTAAGCCTAATTAATCCGTCATTAGCAAATGTTTACGGTAGCACCACATTGTAAAATCATGGCGTAATTAGGCTCAAAAGAGTCGCAATTTACATGCAAACTGTGCAATTGGTTTTTTTTCGTCCACATTTAATGCTCCATGCATATGTCCAAACATTTGATGTAATGGAAAAATTGGAAGTTTGAAGGGAACTAAACACAGCCATACTATAAGACAAATTGTACATGCCAAGAGCAGAACAAGTTAATATATTTTACAAGCAGACAGAATTCACCCGCTCATCGGGGCCTCCTATGAACAACAAAAGGAAAAGAGAAGAAGCTCAAATTGCGTCTATGGTACAAGAACTTGGTAGGTGGGTGCGATTTAGTCCAAGAACTTGAAAATTGAGTAGACTAGTACATGAACTTGACAATCACGTGCATTTTAGGCCAAAACACTAATACATACCTTTGATTAATCCTGGTATTATAAGCTTTGCTACATCGTTGGCTCATGGATTCATTTTAGTGTTTCACCATGTTCATAACCCGAGATAATGAATATGTTGATTAGTCATGCACTTACTTTTGATAATCATATATTTTTCGGTTTTAAATTGACGGATTATTTTATTATTATAACTAATCAATTGAAAGCAATATATAATACATGTAGATCCTTTTCGAGATGGTCTGAGTGGCGGTTTTTTTATATGGCATAAAAAGTATGGTGTGGAATATAGATCTTTTAACCAAAATGCACGCACTAGCCAAGTTGTTGCACCTATATGCTCATTTCTCAAGTTTTTGCACTAGATTGCACCAACCTACCAAGTTTATGTACCGTAGACGCAATTTACTCTATATTTCACTCAATTCAGAAACAGCCTTCTTTACATTACACAGGGGCAGCAGGACATGATTCAGTTGATTAGGATGTCCAGAAGAACAACGTATCCTAGTGATGATGAAACAAGATGAACAATAAAATACTTGTAGAGAATTAATACTAATATTAGAGAAGTGGTACTTGCACTAGGTAGGCCTTAGTTTGTGCTTTGAGGAAAGGAACTACAGATTATTACCAAAGTTCTATTGCTGGATAATTCAATGTACAATTTAAAAGCGTAAAAAATTGCCGAATAAAGTACACCTCCCCAACAGCCGCCTCTGGTGTTTCAGCGAAGAACCGCCGGAGCGAATCCATCCAATCCGGCGATCTCTCCGGTACCCACCTATCAAATTCACGGAATTAAGAACCAGAGAGCATAGAGGTCACGGCAGCGGGAGAGGCATCCAGGGAATCTTGCCATGGGTGGAGGCCGAAGCAGGGGACGACGGACGGGTACTCCTCGGCCATCTGCTTCACCAGGTGCCAGTCTTTCTGCGCGCTTATCCAGTAGACAAGAGTCAGCGAGGAGAGATTCCCCCCGTGTTCTCGCACGAGGTAGGCGCGGGAGCATACCTCGGAAGTGCCGTTGACGGCGAAGCGCGCGACGCCGGCGGCGGTGGCGGCGCGTATGAGGGAAGGGGCGACGGACAGCACACGCGGGTCCTGCAGGTGGCAGTGCGCGTCGAAGAGCCGCACGACGGAAGCGGCGCGCGCTGGTGCCTGGGCCATATCCGGCGACCCCGCGGTGGCCGGAAGCGGAAGTGCTCAACGGCGCTTCTAGCGGTGTGCCGGTGACCGCCGCCGCCCGAGCAAGAGGGGAATCACGGCCTTGTGGGCCGGGATTTATCGTGGGCCCAGAGAAGCCGAAATATGTCGTTGGGCTGTTCACGGAACGCGCTAGCCGCGCCATGTGTTCTGGGCTTATCGGCCCAGTAACACTGGGACGCGCGGGCTGTTGCGAGCAGCCCAGTCAAATTCACCGTGGCTGTCGAATTCACTTGGCTCCTGCGCAGGTGCTCACGACCTCGTTCGTCGTTAGTCCTAGTGGGAGCGTGGCCGCGTGAGATCATCGGAATACCACTTCGAAGACCGAGAAAAAGCCAAAGACCTACTACAGAACACTGTACACCCCAGCGAGGCAGCGATGCAGCCAACACACTACACATGGATGCACTCTGCAATTCACGGAACGAGACAGACTGATGCATCACCTACATAGATCCGTTCTTGCTGTTCCGTTCCTGTACGGGCACAATCAAGTTCAAGGAAACGGAGTTAGAACATCACATCAGCAGCCGAAGATAATCATGCAGGATCAACAGTGCTAACCCGCTATCAGTACTGGCTTAGCTGTCTCGGAATAATTGTGCATTTGTGCACACGACCTCAGGCTAATGTTCCCTGTGCGGTCTGGCCAAATCTGATAATCCCTCTCATTTACCATGACCTGCTCTCAGCCACTCACTTTGCTTATCCTCTTCCGGCCTTAACTCTTCAGCCTTCACTCTCCGTCAGGGAGCAAACAGGGAGAAATCCAGGCAGCAAGTAACGTGAAATATCCAGAGTTACTCCCCCACGAAAATATGTCAACTGTGTGTGCCCTGCATCGTAGAATAGTGGTCTTACATAGTGCAGTTCCCCTCAAAAGAATGATGCCTTCCAAAAGCGACGTGTCCCACAAGCACATGCGCAGTCCTATCAGGATCTGGGGCGTGTGGCCTCCAAGGTTAGTTACTAACGCAGCAGCTATGATTAACTCACGTTTACTGCATACCCCGGGACTGGAAAGGAAAAGGAAAACAAGCTCCCATCACAGATACAGCATGCTTGATTTTAGCTTTATCATATCATGCATCTACAGATTGCCAGGTACATGAGAAGTGCCCGGGACCCGAAGATATCCAGCGGAAAGCGTGGCCGACCTCACTCCAAACTTCCAAAGCCTCCAAGTTAGGACAAGCTATCGCCCCAATGTTTGCGGCGCCACCGCTCGCCCAAAAATCTCCGTTTCTCAGGGCTGTAGCAGTGCAAGAACCTCATTTGAGTTATCTCATATACCACATAGGACAAATGCATATTAAATCCATTTCTCTCACGGTGCAAAATGCTTTGACAAGAACTCCAACCCAACATTACTTTCACCGGGACCTGTGTTGTTACTTCCTTTTTTTAACTGCTCTGCACCTGCATGCGTTTGTTTTAGCTTTTTGAAGTGAGTTCCTCGCATCTTAGTGAAGGGACGAGGGCCCACACTTAGGGAAGGGACGAGGGTCCACACCTTTTTTCCTCCACGCTATCACGCAGCTTATGTGGACGCATGAAGCAACGCTCAACTCCTGTGCACGGCTGGTGGCGGTAGTAATGGACCATCTCAAAGCTCCACCGCGTCGGCGTGTATCCTGTGATTGCACATGCGGGCGGGCACGCCATAAGTATTCGCAGGGGGTGGTTCCCATGTAGCTGTCCAACGATCTCGTCGAAGGATACAGTTCGCTGGCCAGCTTAATGGGTACAAATACATAATCCGTAGCTTATCGGCCTTACCCTGTTCACCGCAGCATTTGCTAACTAAACGGCATTCGTCGGAGTTCCATCAAGAACCAGAGTACAGCCAAAGAGGTTAGCGACGAATATAATACAGCAAGCACGAATGATCCGGTTTGACGCAAGATTAATGGTGTTGGGGTTTTTCAGATGAAGCCCGTGATTACAAAGTCAATAATGGGGTCATACATTGTATCCTTTTTTCTTTTCTTTTCTTGTCTAATGAAGTAGAGTGCAAACGGAAAGGAACGGTGTTGCATGTCACGTCACGAACGGATGGGTACACGGTACATATGCTACAGTTACACGCGCTACACAGGTGAGACCAAGCGACGCCCCGCCCGCCACTAGCTAGCTTTCGTCGGGTCCCTTTATATAACTCACGAGCCACATGCCAACGGGTCGCCTCGCCTCCGTCCAAGACACTTGTGAGTTGTGAGCCGCGCGCGCGACACGACACAAGTCACAAGTGGAGCGCGTGCGAGGATGAGCCCCAGCGCCGCGGCCAAGATGCGGCTCGGCGGCGGCGGCGGCGGTGGCGGTTTCATGCTCGGGTGCGGCTGCAGGGATGCCAAGGCTGTGGCAGTGGCGGTGTCCGCCACGTCGCCGTGTTCCGCCGCCACGGAGACGTCCACGGCCACCACGGCGACCTGGCGCAGGGCCCGGACGCACCCGTCGGCGTCGGCGTCGGCGTCGACGGGCACGCTGACCGTGCCGTCCGCCTCGTCGTCCTTCCTGTGGGACGATGCCGACGCTGAGGCCGACGGCGAAGAGGTCGACTTCAAGCGGGAGAGCTCTGCGACCACGCCGAGCTTCTCCGGCCTTCTGCGGCAGCTGAACGAGCTCGAGCAGAGCGTCATGACGTGGGGGTGGAAGAGCCCTCGCCGCGGTAATCACTTCTCGCCACCGCCGCCGCCTCCTCCGCCACCGCCGTTACCTTTACGGCCAGTCGTCCTGCACCGAGCTGTGGACGCCGGCGGGAAGCGCAGCAACAAAGAAGACGATGCCAAGTTCTCTTCGCCACCGCCGTCTTCCCATTGCCCGACGACCCAGCTGCACCGGAAGGTGAAGAGCGTTGACCAACGAAACAGAGAAGATGATGAAGCCCACTTCGCGCCACCGGCACCTCCGCCATTGCCCTTGCCGCCGCAGCAGCTGCGGAACGTGAAGGGCGTGGACAAAGGCGGCAGCAAAGAAGACAGCAAGCACTGTCCGCCACCACCGCAGGCGCCGAAGCACCGGAAAACGAAGAGCTGCGACAACAACGACGGCTTCACCGCCGGAAAGCTCGACGGGAGCTTGGCGGTGGTGAAACAGTCCGAGGACCCACGCGGCGACTTCCGGCGGTCGATGCTGAACATGATCGTGGAGAACCGCATCGTGACCGGCGACGAGCTCCGGGAGCTGCTCCACCGCTTCCTCGAGCTGAACGCGCCGCACCACCACGACGCCATCCTCCGGGCCTTCGCCGAGATCTGGGACGAGGTGTTCGCCGGGCCGGACGAGCCCCGTCACGGTCCCCCGAGGCCGCCGCCCCGGCAGAGAACGCCACCTCGCCGCCGGCACCCTCTACCGGCTTGGCGCCTGTAGTAACCCCACACATGGATACTTACCGCGTAGTATGTACAATGTAGATTACTGTACTAGGTTGCGTCCAAGAAATTCTCGGCCTCATCTGATCACGTATCTACCGGAATTGTTTCTGTCACCAGATTCACCTCTCGTGCATTTAGTACAGTACTACCTAGTGGTCGTACTTGGTACGTGCAACTCTCCCATTTTGTTACCGTCTGTCTCCTGATTTACCAACCTATTATAGTCTCCGCCCATGTTCTCACTCGGAAAAAGAAACTACTAGTAGCCGCCATGGACGCGCGCGACACGGGAGGTTTCACAGTAAAAAACCGGGTGCGATGGTGCAAGTGGATGCAGGGCGCTTTCGGCCGGGGTTGGAATTGGATGGATGGATACAATACAAATGGAGGGGAGGGCCCCGTGCCGTGCATCGAGTGGGCGCGCTCGCGGTGGACGGTGGTGCGGTGGCGATCGAGCGAGGCGGTGGGCGCAGGTGATGGACGGACGCACGGGAGTGGAAGGGGGGAGACGCGAGCCTACTAATGATGGTCTAGTGCGATGCCAAAAACTGCGGCGACACGCTCCATCAATGCGCAACCTCTCTCTGGGGGGGTCCTTTCCTCTTTGCTTCCCTTCCTGGAAGGAAAGAAACGTCCGAGCCTCAATGCATCCACCGCAATTCTTCTGTCCAATCCTTTTTGGAAATTCTTCCCATGTCCTCTAATTAAGTTGATCTCCATTGACAAGTAGCCAGGACTATAGTCTACAGTTGCGTTTCTTGATGCAATGCTGTGCAGTTGCCTCGGCCAAAATTGAAGGTACGGGACATCCAGGCTCATCAGGTGCCTGCTGAAGCCAAACGCATTCAAATAAGTTAGCTGCAGCATGCAGTGTTTCATGTATTGCCCTCTGCGGCTGTGCCTGCTCTCAATTTCGGGTAAATAGCTAGGTCGACTGTTTTAATGCGTCTCAGAGCAACCACCCATGGCTGCAAAACTGAACTGCAACGGAGTAGAGAGCCTTGTTGTTTTGTCATGTGGAAGTGGTCGGTACGGAAGAAGAAAAATGACAAACTCGCCCAACTGGCCCAAGGCTGGGCCATTTCGTTTTGGGCCGGGAGAGTAGGGGACGCCTAATTTCTCGTACAATCAACATCGTCGTGTTCGGCTCCGTCCCCCTTGGCCCGCCTAGCTACGCGCCACCGCCGATGATACACGTACGAGCTAGTGGCCTAGTACTTCTCTAGTACTCTCCAAGTTGCGCTGCTCCGGTGGCCGGTGCAGGTAGGCGAGGACGCTGACCAGTAGGACCAAGCAAAGCAAGCAAGCAACGCGATCAATTCATTCGTTGCTGCCATGATGAGTTCCGTCTCAGTCGTTAGTCGTCATTAATGTCATGGGAAAATGCTGGCCGATGGGTCACGCGAAATGCAGTCTGCTGCGCTGCCGCTGCTGCGTGAAAACCTGCCAGATGCCAGTGTGCAACAGCGTGAACTACTGAACTCGGCCCGATGCTGAAATTGTTTACCGCGTAATAAGCCCGAGATTTAGGTAGTCTTAGATCATTGATGCATCAGAATCTACACGCTGATAACTACTACTCTTACATGAGGGGATGGCGGTTTCAAAATCTGTACAATGTGCCGACTGCCTAGGCAAGTACAGGCCGAGAACTTAACATGTTCAACGTCAGACATATTTAGTCCAGTCCAGGAGCAACATTTTCAATCAGCACAGTGATGGCTGAAAGCTTGCTCAAGCTTATCGTTGGCAAGACATGGACAACACTAAATGATGTTGTGACTAAAACAGAGGAAGAAACACCGACGATCGGTTCAAAATTTTACATTTAATAAAGACAGCCTTCAATGAAGGTTCAGCTAGTACAAAATTCTTCGACTGCCAAATCGAATTTGTTCACACCTTGTCTTGCATATAAGCAGAATAAAAGACACCCAAGGCACCAAGCGAAAGAACTAGAAGAAGACCAGAGGGCACCAGTTTCCGGGTATTGTACAGCCTTATACCTGAAAGAGAAGGAATATGTTTTAACTTCCCAACATCACAATTCAACTTCATGGAAATGGAACACAAGAGAGTGAAATGTACCAAAAACACTGGCAAACAGAAAGGCAGATCCAAATCCAACAGCGTCACCTAACGCCTTTGTTTCAGGTGATTGCATCAGATAATAAGCCTGCGGTAAGGATAAAATTACGCATATGTTACAAATAATCTTGACAAAACAATTCAATGTTTAACTGTACAAAGATAAAATTACTAGACAAACAGTCAGTTTCTTAGCATGAGAAATCATTATGCTTCCACTAGAAAAGGAGAAACAATGTACTTATTGATGAGATTCTCTAAGAGATTCAAAGGGGTGCCACTGACTTAAGATCAGCCAAAGGAACTGAATAACAGTACCTGCAAGCATGTATGATGAATATAGACTTTATACCAACCAGGGTTCCTTCGAAGATAACAAAACTAATCAAACCAAAAGGTAATGACGATATATAATATATTGTATACCTTCTTGAATCATCACAAAAATAATTTATTACACCTTCTCAGCTTTTCATAAACGATCTCAGTAATTCATAATTTGAGGACTTTCAAGTCTAAGTTGTGTTTAGCACTATGTTATGACAGGAACAAATTATGAAACTTCGTTAAGAATCTGATTCAACATCCTAGTTGAATTTAGTGGTGCCAAGAAAAGAATGATGAATAGTAGTTATTATGCTAAAAAGATTCCAGATTCACCACCTTAATTCCACAAGCATCACAATCCTGAATTACAATTGGAATTTTGAATTGAAAACGTATTTCCACATGATTCCTGATTAATAGTCACCAGTAATAAGTTCATTCTGAAATTGACAAGCACCAGCATTATCAAAGAGAAAAAAAATGGGAAGATCGAATAAGGACTCCCCATTTTGCAACAAAATTTATAACTTTCTGTTGTTCTATTTATACATAAACCCACAAATACCAGTAGTAATATGCATGAAGATTCACAAGCACTTCCTAAAACTCTGGATACTTGTTTAGTTGTTTTGTTACTCCTGTTGGTCATGTTTCTTGTACCAGTAAGCTGATTCAAAACAACTGGTTGGACTAAGATTTGAAGGTTGTTTCCTGCACCTAGCAAATTGTGTCCCTTTCCATCTTCTGTTCCAACTACAAGTAGTACACCAAAAATTCCAGACATATTTGCTGTAAGTTCTTCCAATGTTCCGAGTTCTAACTTACAAGAATCCTATTCTGTCCCCCCAACAGCCCAATAAAACTCTGCAATTTTGGGGAAACATGTGTGTAGAGTTGTGAATGCATGACTTTAGTTTTCCCTCACCGACCCGAAAGTTATACTTTGTTAAAAAAAATAGCAGTTTGGTCTAAGCATAATTGCTACAGCCGTGTAATCAATTGTATATCAAGAATCATAACAAAAGAAATTCCCTTAAGCATTTGATATCTAACCTGAAAGCTAGGCTGCTCTAAAGTGTAAACAAACACAAAAGGGAAATTCAGAAAATGTAGGAAATATACGCCGTCCACTCACAATGCCCATAAGCGCGGATCCGGACAGTCCTCCAAAGATGGAGCCTTTACTCCCCGACCTCACATCTACACACCAGAAAGAGACTCATGGTCAGTACGCAGCACATCAGGAAAGGAATCACGACAGCTCCAAATGGCGCACATGCAAAGGCGCCGCCGCCCAGGAGGAGGGCGCCGTAGGCGGCTGATGCGGTGGGCGCGAGCTCGGACACCGCGGAACACCGGAGGAGGGCACGACGCCGGCTGCGGCCGGGACGGGCCACAGCACTGGGACGAGGTGGCGAGGGAAGGGAACGGATGGCGGCGGCAGGGTGGTGGAGGAGGAGGAGGGAGGAGGTGGTGGTGGTCACCGGCGCCGTCATTTTCTCTGGCGACTTCTCCGCCCCGCGACCGAGCGGTTGCTATCGGTGGTCTCGGGAGAAATCGTGAAATCGGGAGGAATCGCGCGGGGGGGGGGGGGGGGGGGGGGTGATGTGTGTGGTTCCGTGGCGTGATCCTATCGCTTTCGGAGTTTCGCATTTTGCGAGTTCTTTTTTTTTCCTTTTTCACAACTGCACGTTTAGGTGATGGGTTTTGCTCGGTCGAGGCTGAACATGAACTTTTGACTTAGACCAAACGGATAGGAATAAAACTTTTTAAGTATCTATCATATCACATGTTTATATACTAATTATAAATATTTAATATAGACTATTAATAAAATCTATTCATAATCTTGAACTAATTCGTGAGACGAATCTATTGAGCCTAATTAATCCATGATTAGTCTATGTGATGCTACAGTAAATATTCTCTAATTATAAATTAATTAGGCTTAAAAAGGTTATCTTACAAATTAGCTTTCATTTATGTAATTAGTTTTATAAGTAGTCTATATTTAATACTCTAAATTAGTATCTAAATACAGAGACTAAAGTTAAGTCTCTGGATCCAAACACCACCTTACATTTTGGTTGTTTACTTGTTTCTTTTGGTAAACATTTCAAACATACTTCCTCCATCTTTAAAAAAACCAACCTGACCCTCTTAGTACAACAAATCTGATCAGGTTATTTTTTTAAGACGGAGGGTGTATATGTCTAATGTTTCGATGTATCTCCCTTAATAATTTAGCTCATACTTCCTCCGTTTCACAATGTAAAACTTTCTAGCATTGTCCATATTTATATAGATGCTAATGAATATATATATATAATAATGTCTAAATTCATTAGCATCTATATGAATATGGACAATACTAGAAAGTCTTACATTTTGAAACGGAGGGAGTAGCTGTTAAACGCATGCTTATTTTATGACATAAAAAAGTACTAGAATGAAACAATACTTTATTATCCATGATGCAAAATAAACTATAATAAAACCCCCTAGTTCAACTATAATCTAAAATTAAGTTTTAAAATTAAACTTTAGTTCTGACTGATCTAACCAGCAGACGATGAGGTGGTGCTCATACCTTTTCAACAATCAAGAAATGATTTCTATGTAAGATAGTTATTTTGAGTTAGTTACTTATTCCTTACATCCTAAATAAATTGATTTCATATGAGATGTAACATATCCTATGTTCAAGTATTGCAAACTTAGAGGCTGTTTAGATTAATGCCATTTTTTAAGTAAACTTACCAAAAATAATATATATGTTTAATTTGTTGCTAAATTTGATAAATATGTAAGAAATTCTGTCAAAATTTTGACAATACCAAAACTTGATAAGGTTTATTTTGGCTACAATTTAAACATACCCTTATTTTGAAATAAAGGGACAGTTTGCACACATGGTCATACAAGCAAAAGGTTGTGAAGTCAAAAGTCAATGTGTTTGCCTACCATCACTATCACTCGTCCGCAGCTTTTAAAGTTAGAAAGTTGACCCTGCAAATAAAACCCTAGCTGACTAAACACCGACAAGATATAATTATTATATTGTTTTTTTTTGTCATATAATAGTACTATCTCTGTCCCATAAAAAACCAATCTAAAATAAGATAAGATGTTTTTTTTTCTAGAACAATAAATCTGTACATACTTTTGTCCAAATTCATTTTCCAAGAAAACATTCCATCATATCGTAGGTTGGTTTTTTTTGGCACGGAAGGATTACTTGGCAATTGGCATTGTTATTGTACAACGAGCCTATCTTCTTCCCATGCATTAAAATTAGCTATAATACATAGGCGATATGTGCTACAGTACCCTACGGTTTCCGCCGGGGGAGGGGGGGGGGCAAGGTTTACAATGCGAGCTCATACACAAGTATACCTCCTATTGTCATATTTGTTATGAGATTCATGCATATGGCACATATTTTTATAAAGGGTCAATTACTTATTTGACCTTGTTTTGGACGCTAACTATTAATTTGACCCTACTTTTTGGAGTTTGCTTATTTGACCATCCTTTTAAAAAAATGAAGCTCCCATTTGACCCTGTTTCCACTCATCTGTTAAAGTTTGATTTTTTTTCAAAAAAGAAAGAAATGTGATTATTAGTCATAATGCCCAAAGTACCCTCGGACCCTATCCATCCGATCCCCATCTCTGTCTCTCTCGGGCTTCAGGCGGCAGCATCGGGCGGTGAGGCAGCGGCGTCTAGAAGCTGACCCCTGCCGGCGCCCGCTCGGGCTTGCGGCGGCGTGAAGCCGACCCCCGCCGGCGCCCGCTCGTGGAGGTAGAGGGCGGCGGCGGCGGCGGGATCCGCGCCGGCGCCCAGCCGTGAAGGGAAGGAGCGGTGGCGGCGGGAAGTGGAGGAAGGGAGCACAAGATTAGAACAAGATTAGATTAGTAGAACAAGTATTGATCCGAAGGTTAAAGCACCCATCGGCTGGAGGTCCGATGTCATGAAATCCACAAGATTAGATTAAACAATGAAACCTTTGTTGCCATCGGCTAAATTCAACTTATATGTATATGCAATCCTTATGAGCCGATGCAACGTCCAGATAACTCACCGGCTGAAACCCCGATGAAACCCTTATTGGCAATCAATAAGCAGACTAGAGATTATGGTTCTAAGCACGACTTAGTAGATCAAACTTAACTGATGCAGCACTAAGTATGAAAAGAAACACAATATCTAGACAATCAAGCCGTTGACTGATTTTCAGGGTGGTAGATGCCTAGGCTAATCTAATCTAGCAACGCGATTTAGCCGATACCGGCAAAAACCCTAAAGCGAGAGACAGCCAATACAGCTAAATTGATATGCTAAGACTAGATTAACAGAGACATGATAAATAGGTAGGCAAATATATCATCCAAACCAGAGCAATCCAAGAGGTCGAATGTACTGATGCAGCCTTGAACGACGCCGATGTAGATGAGACAATTGCCTGGACTGACGGAACATTGGACTTATCCCTTCGCCGGAGATCGAAGACGATGCAGCCCCACGTCGGGTGCCAAGTTCCGCCGGAACGTAAAAAAACAAAAGTAGAAGTAAAAAGGATAGCGATGCGCCGAATTGTATTGATCGTAGCGATAGATTACATAGACCCCGGGTGTACATATTTATACCCATGGATTGATACAAGTCATTGTCGGACAAGAAAGAAACTAACCTAAAGATAAAAGGAAAATATAAAGTCCTTATCGGACACTAAACACACTTTCCTAAAGATAAAAGGAAACTAACAAACTATTCCTAATTAATAGATAAACTGCCATGCCGCATCCTCTTTAAACTCGGTCACTTAGGGATAAGCTTCCTTTAGTAGATTGATTTCCTTAACCGAATATAGCAGGAATCCGACTATTGGCGACTTTATAACTCCTATCGGCTGATTCCGAGATGCTGCAGCCGATAATGATTCTAAGTCGATGACGTCTTTGTTGATTACCAAATTTCACTATTAACACAGCGGCAGCGGCGTGAAGCGGAGGAAGGGAGCGGCGACGGCGGCGGCGGCGTCTGCGGGCGCTCTGAGGGACGGCAACGACGTGAAGCCGACCCCCGCCAGCGCCCGGCCGTGAAGGGAAAGAGCGGCTGCGGCGAGAAACGGAGGGGAGGGAGCGGCGGCGGATCCCCAGCGGCTGGAGCTTCACGCGCGGTCGGGGGCAGCGGCGGTGGCTACCTCCACCCATATGTCCTTGGGTTCGAGCTTGGCCTTCATCAGCGCCGCGTCGTACGTCCTCGGGCTCGACCTCGCCGTTCATCTGCACGCTCCCTGTCCTGAAGGCGTCTTCTTCTTCATCCGCCAAAAGACAGAGACGCCATGGCCAGCTTGAGGTTCACCGTTTTTTTTTTTTGCTTTTATCTATGTGCTTCGATTGATTGATATTATTGGACACATGTGGTTCAAACTAGATTCCAAGGTGTGGTTGTTTATTTTTAAAAAATCCTGTCAAATTTAAGTCGAATTTGTCAAAATAATTCAAATTTGTTCAATTTATGCTAAATCTGTCATAACTGTGTCAAATTTTGTTTAATTTTTTTTTGTCAAAATTCTGTCAATTTAAGTCAAATTTGACAAAATGATTCAAATTTGTTAAATTTATAACAAATCTATCAAACTTGTCTTCAATGTGAAACTTATTACAAATATGTCAAAGTATTTGAATATATACACGGTATGACATAATAGGGTCAAACAATCAAGATATAATGGGGTCAAATAATCAAGGGCAAAATGGACTATTTACCCCTAAGTTAACACCGTGAACTCAACTAAACGGAATAGGGTCAGAGAGGAGCTTCGTTTTTGAAAGGGAGGGCTAAATAAGCAAACTCCAAAAAGTAGGGTCAAATTGGTAGTTAGAGTTCAAAATAGGGTCAAATAAACAATTGCCCCTTTAATAGAACATAATATTGTATTCCTCTTTTCATATATTATCTGCTGGATTAAATCTAAAAGTCACAAATTATTAATGGGGAGTAACTATACACCATTCAATATTTTTTAAAAGCGAACTTTTAAACATAACTATAATATAATTGGGATGCATATAACTTATAACTATAATATAATTGGGATGCATATAACTTATATAACTTATATGTAACATGTATAATTTTATTCGAAACATGGGCTCAATTAGATGGCTAACACCACAAGATGATATTTCTCAGGCTATGGGTTTGATTCCCACTCTTTCGTTGGTCTTGTGATCCGACGATTATAAATTTAAAAGTCTTGGGAATTTATATTTTTCTGCTCTGCACAATTCTTGAAGTGATCCAACGGTTATAAATTTGGAAGTTGCGAGAGAGAAAAAAAACTGTTGTATATTTACAAGAAATTCTGTTATTAAAAATCTGCAAGGGGAAATTAAAGCACTCAAATTCGTATGAACAAGTCCACATGCAAGATGCACGTTGAAGACCTGCTATACAGATTCAATATATCCGGATCGATTCAATCCTAAGCCTTATTGTAAGTGTAACGTGTTTACACTTTACAGTTTACAAGAGCCGATCGGGGGGCTTAACGCCTTAATCCGATCATTATTCCTTGCCATCTGAATTAACCAAACCATACACAAAAGAATCGAGGACTCCGAATCTCCGATACCCCTGTTACACACGCTACTAAAATTACCTATGTACACCCGACGCGGCGACGCCTGTACGCACTAACGCACGTCTCTACAAAAAAGCCAAGCTACATGTACGGTGCCGTGCACGTGTAGCCTAGTTTCCACAAACGATCACACGTACCTGCATCGGAAAGAACACCATACGGCCCCGTGCCGCCGTGCGACGATGCGATCGAGAAAAAAATGGTTATGAAAATGTAGTCGACGTAGTAAGGCGCAGCATTAGCAGAGCAAGTGCACTGCTGGCTTAATCAGCTGGTGGCGCGAACCATCGGGGACTGCGGCGACAGGAGCGCCAATGGACTGGAGAGATGGGCTGGGCTGAGGTGGTGGTGGTGCGGCAGGCTGAGGCGGAGCTGCCTATTGGCGGCCCAGCGCTCGGCCTTGACCCTGCGCTGCTGGTGCTGGCGCACGAAGTCGTGGATCCGGCCGAGCGCGACCTCCATGGTCTCGTCGTCCATGTTGGCGTGGCAGACGCGGAACCACCCGGGCTCGCGGCAGTGGAACGACGTGCCGGGCGACACGTTCAGCTTCACCTGGTGTACGATCACCCGCCACAGCTCCAGCTCCGCCTCGGCCGTCTTCTCCCGGAGCATGCGGCGCAGGTCCATCCACGAGAACAGCCCGGCGTTGCCGCGCAGGCAGCCGATCCCGACCTCGCGGAGGCCAGAGGTGAACCGCTCGTGCCGCGCCACCAGCCGACACTTGCTCTCCTGGAGGAAGCGGCCGATGAACTCCTCGTCCGAGAGCATCCTGGCGAGGAAGTACTGCGTCTGCGACGAGACGAGCCCGAAGCTGGACATCCTGCGCGCGGCCGCCACGACGGCGTCGTTGTACGAGTAGATGATGCCGACGCGGAAGCCGGGGAGGCCGAAGTCCTTGGAGAGGCTGTACACGACGTGGATCAGGTCCCTGTTGCACCACGGCACGTCGCGCTCGATGACCTCGGCGATGCTCACGTACTCCGGCGTGGCGAACACCGACCCCGCGTAGATCTCGTCGCAGACGAGGTGGACGCGGTGCTCGGTGGCGAAGGTGGCGAGCATGGCCAGCGTGTCGCGGTCGGTGATGGTGCCGAGCGGGTTGGACGGGTTGGTGATGAGGATCCCCTTGACGGAGATGCCCTGCCTCCGTGCGCCGTCGTACGCCGACACGAGGGCCTCCTTGGTGAGCCTGAAGTCGTTGAAGCTGTGGCACTCGATCGGCAGCAGCTTTATTCCTGACCTCCAGCAACAGTCGCGGTCGAAACTGTCAACGGAAGCACATGTCGTCAGGCCTTAGGCTTAGCTACCTCAGCTATGTTACATTGTAAACATGCATCAGAGTTAAAATTGCATTGACTACGACCGTGTGCGAACATCGTGCATGCGTTTGCTTGCATGACTAGATTTAGTCATTTGACTTCAACGGCATCCATAATTAGGTCGCAGTTTGATTCAATCACGGGAAAATTAATCCATCTTTTCTCTCCAAGCCAATTTTAAAACGTAACTCAAATCTCGGAGAGAATGTTATCTGATTTTCTTAGTTGACACTCGGATATCTTTTCCTCGTTTGACGAACTACTAGATATTCAGAGGAAACAGAAGACTTCTACGAGCGGAAGAGAACAAATTCAGTTTCAGTTGTGATAGTTAAGGTTGACGGGACATACGCTGGGTAGTATGGCGTGGGCACGAGGAAGGCCTCGCCGGGGTTGGCGAGGCAGAAGGCGAGCGTCTCCTGGGCGCCGGTGGCGCCGCCGCTCATGACGACACGGTCGGGGTCAAACGTTGCCTTGCCTCCCCTCACCTGCCCCATAAACTGGGCCATCGCCTGCAACATCACAATCACATTCAGTTGTTAACAATATGACCTCCCGAACGCTAGTTGCTGCGTTGCTTTCACGGTCGCAAGCAGCAGCTTTGTCATCTATCTGGTTCTCAATATTTTTATCGAATTTTCTATGATGTTATATAGCTTGTCTAATATGCTGATGTGATGTCAGCGATTGATTGGCCTTACCTTTCTGAACTCCGGGAGGCCGTGGTAATCCTGGAAATTGGCGATCCTCTTGAACTGCGAGACGCCCTCCGGTGTGCAAATGGATGCCTCGGGGTGGTTCTTGCTCCATTCCTCGATCAGGTCCAGAGAAAGCTGTGACATTTACAGGGCAACAAAGACGGATTAGCACTTTGTCGAGAACGATCCTTAATTCAGAAATGAGTATACACAGGTCTGTGCGCGTACCTGGTTCTCGGCGAGACCCATCTGGATGACACCCCCGCGATTGTGCCGCAGGTCGAACGGGTTCGTGTCGTAGGCCTTCCACCCGTCGAAGTACGATGAATTCTCGCCGTGGTCATCGCCTGCGGCTTTCGTCGAGAGAAGGTCGATGCCCTGGTACGCCATTGATTTGGTGTCGGACTCCGAGGATATCCGAAGCCCGGACCCTGGCTGGAACGCGAGCAGCCGAGCAGGTAGCTACTCTACCTGCCTAGCCACGCAAGGATGATCGGACAGACCCCCACAAGAAAAAAAAAAGGATGATCGGACAGACAACGAGTACGTGCAATATGGCACTTAGCTAGCTCAGCTAGCTCGATGATTGATTGAGCTGGCTTGTTTGGGAGATAATAGAACGAGGTGGCCATCGGTATTTATAAACCATGGTAAAGTTGGAGGTCAGAACAACCAGCTTGAGTTTTTGGCGCATGCATGGCCGAGAGAAGCTTCCATGAAAGGGAGACTGGAGGCTAGGCACGAGCGCGACGTGGTTTGGATTTTTGGAACATGGAAGAACGGGGCGACCTCGTGGCCGTGATGTTGGCCGCTTTTAATTTCCGTTTACCAAGTTACCTCGCCGCAGCCGATGGCTATCCTATCCTATTCTCTCTGTCCGTTTCAGGTTACAAGTTTTGACTTTCAAAGTCAAATTACTTTAAATTTAACTAATTTTATAGAAAAAAATAGAAATATTTTTAACCTAAGACAAATATATTATAAAAATTTATTTAATTATAGATTTAATAAAATTATATTGGTGTTGTAAATATTACTGTTTTTTTCTACATAATTAGTCAAACTTAGAATAGTTTGACTTTGACTAAAATCAAAACGTCTTATAACTTGAAACGGAGGGAATACGGTAAAGTTAACCCACTTATTCTAAAACTCAACATACAGATATGATACATCATCATCCACTAGCAATAATTACATACAAAACTTATGTAAGCATGCAACATCATCTATAATTTATTGAATTATACAAATCAACGTCCAATAATCTTCCTTCACATTATTTTTCACGATATTTTAAACATATATATATATATATATCCATCATTTTTATAATACTTGTTAACATATATTCATCCATATAATCAAAGTGGGATATCATATTTCATCTACAATCTCATAGAGTCTACTAAATTTATTTCTCTCTTAACATAGTTTGACAAATCAGTTTTATTTGTTATTGATAACTAATATTTTTTTTACTTTTAACTCGATTGTTAAAAAATTATTAAAAGTTAGTAATTTTCGCAATAAAGCGCGGAGAATCACCTAATATTCCGGAAAGAGAAGAACAGAGCATCGTATGTGGTCTGTGGTTCGGTTTGGGTTGGAATGCATACTACTAACGTTTAACTTTCTTGTTCTAAAATGTTAAACGGTTTGGCTATAAAGCTCGTTTTCGATTAGTATGTTTTCCTAATCGTTAAACGGTGTATTTTTTTTAAAAATAAATATATAAGTTTCTTTAAAAATTCGAATGAACCTATTTTTAAAGTTTATAATAACTAATACTTAATTAAATATTTGATCATGAGTCATCCCGTTTTGGGCGGCTGAGCCTGAAAGATGGAAAATTTATCTTTTTTCTCAAGTGCACGCTTCTTGAATTTTAAATTTTGTGTTTTTTGAAAAAAAATGTATAGAAGAGTTGTTTAAAAATATATTAATCTATTTTTAAATTTAAATTAATTAATACCCAGATAATCATGTGCTAATGTGTAAGTTCTCAATCTATTCTATTTTTCTCCTTCCAGGACACCCTAACTCTGTTTTTACTGAAGCCGGGCGATGGCTTAACTGAGCTCGGCTTGGACGCGGCAGTGGACTTAGAGCAAGTTCAATAGTGACTTAGAGCAAGTTCAATAGTATAGTCCACTATAGCTTCAATTTATCTATAGCCGATTTAATAGCCAATTCATACAATAGTTGCTTACTATACTATTAACATATGGTCCCACCTGTCATACACACATTGCATCTTGGAGTCTGTGTTACAGTTGGCTACAGATCTGTAGCCCGTTGCTTTTCTCTCTCATATTTTATCTTACTAAAATATGTTTATAGCTGGCTAATAGCCCGCTATTGTACCTGCTCTTACCGGGCTGCCCGAGATCGATCCCGGAAGACTAGTTCTGCCGCCGGCGCAGCTACCTCAAGAAAACGGGAGGTGGGTTCTACTTTGCATGAGAGGGAAGTAGTATGGGCGTACAACCACAAGTCCCAAGATACCACATAGGACTAAATACTAAATAATGATGTGGAGGAGAGAAGAAAGATGAGAGAAATAGTCACCTCTCATGAAGGGGTAACCCCTACACAAACTTTAATAAACATGTGAGAGTGTTAGAATATTGGGAATTGTGTGGTAGAGGTAATATATTATACATGTCACCTTTTAATTTAATTATATGTATATGATGCATGAAATTAGATGTGGTGGTCACCTCTATTATAAAACTTGCCCTTATACTAAAAGCAAGTTTAACAATACAGCCAACTATGGGCTCCAAATCAGCTATAGTCAATTTAATAGTCAATTCACACAATAGTTACCAATAAACATGTACTACATAATTAATGTCTAGTCCCACCTATTATACACTCATATCTTGGAGTCCGTGCTACAACTGGCTAGAAATCTGTAGCCGCTTATCTATCCTCTTTTATCTTGTTAAAAGAGTAAAAAGCACGGGCGGTCCTTAAACTTGTAGGGTTGTGCCATCGGTCCCAAATCAATACAATCCCTTCAGGATCCTACGCGGCGTTAATGTGGCGTGCCACGCGGACATGACATGGCATCATTTTGACTAATAAATGGGACCCATTTAAAAAAAATCCTTTTTTATATTTTTTTTCTTCTCCTTCATCTCTTTTTTTTCCTTTCTTCTCCTTTATCTACCCGAGCGGAAGAAAGGAAAAAAAGAAGAATGAGAAGAAAACGAAAAAGAAAAAGAAAAAAAAGAAAAGGACACGTCACATCCATGTAGCATGACACATCAGCGCCACGTAGGATCCTTGGGGCATGTGTTGATTTGGGATCTAGATAATACACTTTGATAAGTTCTGGGATCTGGATCTGCATTTTAAAAGTTTAGGGACCCAGATGACACAACCTTATAAGTTTAAGGACCAACTATACACTTTACTCTCGTTAAAATATATTTATAGCCAATTTATAGTCTGTTATTTTACCTGCTCTAGTTGTCATGGAATTAATTAACACCGCTAGTGCGCGGACCGCGGATACCGGATCGATCAAAGGATCTGGCTCTCGTTGGCGATTGCGTCATGCTTAATTATGGCTTAACTGAAGTTAGTAACTGACTCTGTGAAACAGTACTACAGCACACCAGGTGAAATGCACGCCGTAGAATCATTGATGAGCGTCGAGCACCCCAGAATCCCGGAGTTCGTTATCAACTCTCAGGTTGCCAGTCAACTTGGCAACCCAGTTTAAAGTACTAGTCTTTCCTAAGTCTTTGGGCTACCACAATAAATTCGCATCCAATTTGGCCACTACAGTGCCCAACTTGCTTTTCCAACGAGGGGAAATAATGATGTGATAGACCATCGTGATGGTGATCTGACCGTGTAAATTGATGGAAAAAAATTGTGATAAAAAACCCATCAAAATCAACTTTTAAATTGAGTTTTCAAAAATTTAGGTTGCAGTTGATAAAGTGAAGAGCAAACAATTGAGTTACTTGAATATAAGCCGCTTTAGGTTTAATTTTTTCGTAACAATTAATAAAAGAGCGTGAACAACTTTGTTATAGTTAATTTATAGTAGAAGATGAACCACTTATATTCGTGACAGGTGTAGCCTTTAATCGGCAAGGACAAAAAGGTATTTTTTTAAAAAAAATAAACCGGCATTAGAGTATGTTAATTAATTTCTGGAGAAAATTTCCTATACAAGTAAGAGCAAAAAAACTAAAGTTAGGAGAGTAAGGAATTAGCTTTGCGAGATGTTTGGCTTCTGCTATAACCTAGGTTTTGCGCCCAAGGAGTTTTGCGAGATGTTGGCTTCTGCTACTACACTCCGATTCCTTGCTTTCAAATTTCCCATGTTGTTACGGAGAAAAAGATGCGTAGAAGCTATCTTCAATATTTTTTTTTCTTTTGTAGGGATGGGGTAGCAAAATCGATTAACTAAAGAGTTAGGAAGACTAAACCATTATTTAGAATCAAATTTATATGTGGATCAATTTACCCTGTAACAATGGGATAATGTCATCTAGTTAATTTGTTTATTTTGCTAGCATGAGTGATATGGTCATATCCTGAATTAGTTGTAGTCCACGGGGTTGGGAATTTCCTGTAGAAAAACTAATGCAAATTCGGGAATCAAGTGGAAAAATTAATAAAACACATGCACGATTTAGACTGGGCATCGCTCCACTGGAAGAACTTGTGGGCTTTCGAAGGGATTTATTTACGGAATCGCTAGAATTGTGTCGACACATTTTCTTAGTCCGATTTTCTTTGTCCCGTGCCAATACGATCCTGTCCGTGCATATTGCTATGGCAGGCTAACGTTGCGGCTGTCCATATGATTAATTAAAGCTTAACGTCTTTATTAGTTCAAGGTTTTACACGTATGCATACTATACTTTATACAAATTTACACCCCACTTACATCCCACTTACACACCACTTACATATATAATTACTATGTAATTTTGGGACTTACATATGTAATTTTGAAACTTATATTATAAATACACTAAATTTACATATGTAATTTAGGGACTTATAATGTAAATACATGCCGACTATTTTTTGATAAAAAATATGGCACCATAAATATAGCTACTCCCTTTATTTTATTACCCGGTGCAACACACGTGTATTTTGCTATTGTTAATAAATGCATGAAACATTTACCAGTTCATAAGAGTAATTAAGAATGGTACGTACTTAGGCTGTGTTCGGGTGGAGGGGTTGAGAACCCCTTCTCCTAGCACACAAAACGAAGCTCGTATTATTACATGTTTAATTAAGTATTAACTTTTTTTTGAAAAATGAATTAATATAATTTTTTAAAATAACTTTTATATAGAAAGTTTTTGCATAAATCACATCGTTTAGCAGTTTAAAAAGCGTGCGCGCGGAAAACGAGACATGTGGGTTGAGAAAATTGGGGGGGGGGAGAACACAGCCTTAGGCCATTCCCAACCCAATGACTAGGATGGTGTCCATAGCATTAAATAGGCTGCCACCTAGTATGAAAAATTATGTGGCAAGTGAATAAATAAAAAAAATAAAGAAACCATGTCTTGCATGAGACATAGTTTTTTCACAACATCCAAGACATTATGTGAGATAAATAGCATTAAATTTAAGTATAGATAGTAGTGTTTGCATTGTAAGAGTAATGTCTA